AGCCAATCTCATCTTGTTGCCTTGGGAAGGTAGGAGTGGTGAAGAATGGGGCTGTGGAAGTCGGGACAGGAGTATTCTGTTATTATCAAGGTTCTCACAGTGAAAACACATAGAGAGAGGTGCCATTCTCATTGGTCAAGGTCTTGGACACTTCATTAGCTATTGTTTTTTAAATGAGTTTGCTAAGGAGATGAGATGAGAGTGGCAAAGGAACATGGGATAATGATGGGTTTGGAATTGGAACATTGCAAGCCTGACACTCAATTATTAACTGAATTGTTCATCACAGTACTTAAATTTAAAAATAGGTTAGGGGATGCTATCTTTGCAAACATTAGGAAGTATTAGCCAAAGGGGACCAATGTTCATCCAATCCCTCCTTATAATGAGAAGGGATCTGATGGCATTGAGAAGGGCAACTTAAAGTATTCCTTTCCTTAATGGAATCACTAAGGTACACAGCCTTCTCTTTCAAAACCCTTCTCTTGAGCAAGAAACTGAAGTGAAAGCCTAAAAGATGTTAAGTCTTTTCCAAAACACTAGCTTGTCCAAAATGACACTACTTCCACTACCCAGCCGTCGCCACACTCCAGGATGTTTTCTGGACCCGCGCGGCCGCTTGCGGCCGCGCGACACATCATAAGACACTAAATACCCATCTTCTGGAATTGTCGTACCATATTTGATAGGGTTCAAATATGGTAACACCTACAAGGGTGATTAGAGGTCACCCCAAAAGCCTCTATACCTCTCGGAAAGACTGGCAAGCTACCGAGAGTATTCCGCCCGCACGGAAGAGCCTGGCAAGCTATCCGCTGTGTATTCGATATGCCAAAACCAGTAACTACAACTGGTCTCATTCACCTGACCCTGAAGGCTTCACCGACATGGCAGCACTGAGAAGGATGAGAAAGGAGAGGCCGACAAAATCTCAAGGCCGACCTAGGCTGCCACAACGAAGGAAGACAAAAATGATCGTCTGTACTTTCAATGCACGTACGCTAGCATCAGATGCATCCATCGAGGACCTGATGGTACAAGCGCGAATGATCAAGTACGACATCATTGGTCTGACCGAGACAAGAAGGCACAAATCTCACCATGCCGTTTTCGACACCGGAGAAGAATTGTTCCTCGGAACATGTGATAAAAGAGGTGTTGGAGGCGTCGGTGTCCTTGTCAACACAAACTTGGCCAAGAGCATTGATTCATTCGAATGCCTAACAACCCGAATTGGACGTTTACATTTGAATAGATGTGGCTCACTGCCTGCAGTTTCTATCTTCGTTGTCTACGCACCAACATCTCATTATGATGAAAGAGAAATCGAGAAGTTCTACATGGAGCTAGAGAAGTTCTATAAAGAAGACCACACCTTCTACAAGATCATTGTGGGTGATTTTAATGCCAAGATAGGACCGAGAAGATCAGCTGAAGAACTTCACATTGGGACCCATGGCCTAGAATGGAATGAACAGGGTGAGAGACTGTCTGAGTTCATCATGTCGACCAAGACCATTCATGGTAACTCACAGTTCCAGAAGGCAGAATCTAAACGATGGACATGGGAGTCTCCCGGTGGACGATTCCACAACGAAATAGACCACATCATATTCAATCGATGGTTTTGCCTGACTGATGTCGCTGTTGTCCCAAAATTTCGAACGGGATCGGACCACCGTCTCCTTCGTGCAAAATTCTACTTCACAGAGCGGGGAGAAAGGGCTGCAAAGTTCAAAAAGAGAACTCCCAGAATGACCACCAACTGGGAACTCTTTGGTACTATTGCGGCAACATGGGAAGATGCCATTGTTGACAACATTGACGAGGAATACGATCGACTGGTTCAGCACCTCCTTGAATGTGCGAGGAACGCCAAGAGAGAGATAGCCACAAAAAGTCGCCTGTCTTCGAAAACTCTTGAGCTAATTCGCCAGTGTGGTTTGGCGCATGCCTCAGGCAACCGCAAGCTAACGTCTGAGCTCGCAAAGCAGTGCAGAGATGCGATCAAGGAAGACCTCAAAGAGAGAAGAGCAGAAGTACTGGTAGATGCGGCAGAAGCCGGGAAAAGTATTCGTAGCGCCCACCTGTCCTTCGCCAACTATAAGACCAAGATGACTGCCCTCTGACGTCCTGATGGATCCATCACATCCTCCAGAACGGCAATGGAGAAGATTATCCATGATTTCTACTCAAATCTCTTCGATAGCCATGTCCACTTGCCGACATACCAAATTCCACAGGAGGGTACGTCGTTCCTAACGTTCTCCCTTCCGAAATCCGACACGCCATTTCGTTGGTAAAGAAGCAAACAGCACCCGGCCCAGACAAGGTCAGACCTGAACACCTGAAGAACCTGCCGTCAGTACTCATCAATACACTGGCTCGGCTCTTCACTCGTTACCTGTCTGAATGCAAGGTTCCGTCCCAATGGAAAACCAGCAGGACCGTACTACTGTTCAAGAAGGGAGACATCCATGACATTGGCAACTATCACCCGATCTGCCTATTGTCTGTCATCTACAAGCTGTTCACTCGAGTCATCCTGAATAGGATTGGCAGAACACTAGATGAAGGACAACCATGCGAGCAAGCAGGGTTCCGCAAAGGATTCAGCACCATCGACCATATCCACACGGTAACCAAGCTCATTGAGGTTTCTCGGGAGTTCAAGATGCCGCTCTGCTTAACGTTCATTGATTTAAAGAAGGCCTTTGATTCTGTTGAGACGGAAGCGGTCATTGAAGCCCTAGCCAATCAGGGCATTCAAGCCCAATACATCAGGATCCTCCGTGAGCTGTATTGCAGATTCACTACCAGGATCTCACCATTCTACAAAGAAGTGATCGTTGATGTCAAGAGAGGGGTGCGGCAGGGTGATACTATTTCACCAAAACTCTTCAGTGCCACCCTCGAGAACATCATGAGATGACTGGAATGGGAAGGAATGGGAGTGAAGATAGATGGTCGGCAACTACACCACCTCCGCTTTGCTGATGACATTGTTTTAATAACACCAAACATCAGCCAAGCGGCACAAATGCTGGCCGACTTTGACCGTGAGTGTGGAAAGGTAGGACTACAGCTGAATCTTACGAAGACAATGTTTATGAGAAACAGCCTTGTTCCTGACGCCCCATTCGCTCTCAATGGAACGACCATCTCCGAATGCAACAGCTATGTGTACCTAGGTCGAGAGGTCAACATGAGAAATGACCTGGCACCCGAGCTGCGCAGGAGGAAGAGAGCGGCTTGGAACGCCTTCAAGAACGTCGAAGAAATAGCTAAGAGGACGAAGAACCTCCGGCTCCGGGCACATCTCTTTGATTCTACTGTTCTTCCTGCATTAACATATGCCTCAGAGACCTGGGCCCTACGGAAACAAGATGAGAACGCCATTCAGGTCTCCCAAAGAAGAATAGAAAGAGCTATGCTTGGAATATCACGTTTCACTCAAATGAGAGAACGAATCCGGAGTTCTGACATACGTCGACGATCAAGGATCAGGGACGCTGTCTCATATGCCAAGGTGTCGAAAATCAGATGGGCTGGTCACGTAATGAGATTTAAAGACGACCGTTGGACTAGAGCTGTTACTGATTGGATTCCACGGGATGTCAAGAGACCGCGTGGCCGCCCACCTACCAGATGGTCAGACTTCTTTGTCAAGATCATGAACGATCGGTTTGAGGCCCTCCATGTTCCCGGAGCGAAGAGATGCCATTGGGCTACACTAGCACGCCACAGGGACAAATGGAGACGTTACTGGCGCCCGCTCGAGCAAATCGACGACTAACAGGAAGTTAAGTGATTAAGTGAAGTCCAAAATGAATGAATCTCTGCACCTTGCCATGGGCACAAGACTGATAAAAAGACTAATCTCTTTCTTGTCTACAGCATCCCCCTCCCTCTGGGCCCCTAAACATTTCATCTTTAGAAGCCTGTGATAGAATGGTGATTTTTTTCTGGCCTATGGGTCAGGGGAGTTTGGAAACCATCACAAGTGTTAATTAGAAGGTCCTGTTCACTCTGAAGGTTCTGGTTCTATTTACTGCTGCTGGGTCCTCAGGTTGGGTTGCTTTAACCAGGCTGAGCTGCCTCCATGTATGCAAGGAGGGAGTGAAAGTTCATGGAAAGTCTACCCTCAGAGCCCAGGGTTGCACCCTCGATGCAGAATTTCATCATCAGTATCCATCTCTGACTTTCACATTGGTCTCATTCCCTCTGCTTTCCCCATCCCCGCATGGCTCACCTCTCTGTTAATTGCTTTAAGGCACATTTATTTAGCCAGTATCTTACATCAGAGCATCTCACTTGTACTCTTGATCTTCTATCATGCCACAGCAGGCATTGCTCACCTATGGTCTGCTCTTGGGTATCAGCCCCACTTAGTTGTGGAGGAAATATCATATGATACATACTGCATGGACTGGAATTGGTAGTGGTCGTAGCTGTGACCATCTTTCTAGGTCCGTGTCTTCTACAAAGATGAGTAATTTTGGATGGATCCTTTTATATTTTTGACTTTTGGGCAATACCTGGCAGTGTTCAGGAGCTCCTTCCAGCTCCAGGATCTGGTGATGCTCTAGGAGATGGTTAGGGGATGGGGAGAGACGATTTGGTGCAAAACACGTGCTCAGTTCTGGGTGTTCTCGTTTTGGCCCTGGATTAACTTCCCAATAATGCTTTTGAAAGGGTCATCTCATCCCGACATTATAATATCCTAAAAAATTAAAGTGTATTCCTAGTCCCAGTTCCAAAGTTCATATGCTATGGAGGGTCTTTGATATCACTGGTACTGAAGGAGAGGTGGAAGTGCTTAGTGATGACTATTCCCAAGGGTCTGGGGTCTGGGATCCATCACTCCTCCTACGTCTCCTCTCTAGTAAGAAGAATGACTTTTTGCCATGAGATCCTTCACTTTGCGATAGGAAAAATAATCAAGAAAACCACTGAATCATTACAATGACAAATGCACATATAACACTGTGGACTTTTTTTATTTGAAAAAGAACATCAACTATTCTTGTTTGAACCATACTCATATTTTGCATCAATATAAAAATACAGGGAAATTCAATTACAGTGACCAAAATAAAAAAAAAAGTTAATCCACTATTTGGAGAACAGTCATCTTTCAAAATAGAATACAATGTAGTACTCATTAGAATTCAAGTTTTTCTTTCCCTCAGTAGGAAAGAACATAAAACATAAAAATGTTTCTAAATCAACAAGAGGACATATCGGGATAGCTAATTATTGCAGATATTTGTAATATACTGTACTTCAAAGACAGTAAAAATGCATGAAACAAGAGAATTATTTAGTACCCTTAAAATTGTTGTTATTCCACTTTTCCTTGGGTGTCCTTACATTCATTTCCTCCCCCCACCCTAGCATATCTTTATGTGAAATTTTATGCATGTGCAAAAGAAATTTTTGATCTTCATGGCCTTTAGAAGTATTTTACTGCTTTATCGGTACTGTAAGAAGTTCTGCAGTAAGGTTGGTAACTGGAGCTGCGGGATGAGGTGCAGTCTTGATCTTCCTATGTAGCTTCTGATACAGAGTCGACAAAGTTGGCAAAGTGAGCATGGGGTAACTGCAAGGGATATGCAAGCATTACTTAACTACAATCAAATGAATCTTTACATCTTGTCAGATATATGACATCAAGTCTAAACAACAGTGAACTGGGATAATCTGACCGCTATATTAGGAAAATTAATTCAAACTTTTTTTATTTTTAGTGTTTTGTTATCATCAAGGTATACTCATTTCATATATGCTCTTTTTTGGTTTTGCATTTGAAACCTCAGAAACGAAATCTGCTTCTTTTGTGGGGTCTGGGGGAGGGGTCGTACCAGCAGTACTCAAGGGTCACTCCTGGATGTACTCAGGAGACCATATGCAGTGCTGGGGATCAAACAAGGATAATCTGCTTTATTGAAGAAAGATAAAATAAAGATCCAAGAAGTATTAAGTAATAAAGGATGACATTTGAAAATTGTATATACATATTTATTTTTTCTTTCTTATATTAGGTTTACTATTCAAGCCAAAAGTAATTTTATTAATCTTTGAACTACACATCAGATTCTATTTTAAAACTAAAGTCTACATTAGAAAATTACTTCCTGATTATGTTTTAATAATTATAGGAGGCGCATGTCCTTATAAAGGGAGGAATTACTTCCAAACATTTGTTGCCAGATATTAAGCAGAACCATTTATTATGTTTTCAAAACAAATTACACTTGAAAATATATCTAAGCAACTCAAGAAATATAAAGTTAAGATAAAAAATTATAAATCATTATTGTAAAATACTAAAATATGTTTTTCACTAAACATTTCAAAATGCATAAGATTATTAGTTTGTATAATAAAAGGCAATAAAAAGGCTTTAAATTTTATTTCAGACCAAAGCATCTGGTGTTCTTCCGTGCCCACATTTTATTCTTACCTTCGTGTTGAAGCAATAATCGTTCCACTAGACTGCTGGAAGTAGCTACATCTATAGGTCGCCGACACTCAGAATCTTTGGCATTAATATCTGCTCCAAATTCTAGCAATAAGGTGATAATTTCCACACTGGATTGTTGTGCAGCAGCATGTAATGGAGTATCCCAGTATTTTCCCTTTTGTACATCAGCACCTACACGTATATAAGGAGTGATGAGGAATACAAACAAAGCTTGTTAAGTAAGTTGTTATTTCCCCCAGAGTGGACAGAAAGGAAAGGTAATTTATAAAACACAAAAAGCATAGCAAATCTATTTTCTTTTTTTTTTCGCTTTTTGGGTCACACCTGGCAATGCTCAGGGGTTACTCCTGGCTCTGCACTCAGGAATGACTCCTGGCGGTGCCTGGGGGACCATATGGGATGCTGGGAATCGAACCTGGGTCGGCCGCGTGCAAGGCAAACGCCCTACCTGTGGTGCTATCACTCCAGCCCCGCAAATCTATTTTTAATATAATTTCTTTACATATATTGACAAACAGTGCACTTATACTCTTTATATATACATATATTTATACACAAATATAAAAGCATAAAATTTGGCATATGTGGATATATATGGGAAGCTAATTTTCCTGAATGTTATTACAATAAAAAAGATGATAACTGTAGACCCGAAGTGATGGTACAGCAGGTAGGCCAATGTCTATCTATATGTGATAGTACAGCAGGTAGGTAATTGTCTTGCATGTGGTCAATCTGGGTTTGATCCTGGGCACCACATATGGTTCTCTGAGCCTGACCCACACCAATCTCTGAGCACTCTGGGTGCGGCCCCCAAGTGTGTGTGTATGTATGTATATATATATGTATATATGTACATACATATACATATATATATAATTGTAACAGACTACAGAGTAACCATACTTACTGATTTTAAACAGTATACAATTAAATTGCTATAACTATCAATTTTATTTAATTGACAACTTTTAGCATTATCACGAACATATTGCTCATATTCTTTTCATTTTATGGCATTGGAGGTCTTTTGTGTTTTGGAAAAACTAATCAATTCATATTGTAAAGTGCACACGGTAAAATATATTGTTTTATACTCGTGATGGGCTGCAGTGATAGCACAACGGGTAGGGCGTTTGCCTTGCACACAGCCAACATGGCCTACCCGATTTCGATTCTCTGCCCTTCTTGGAGAGCCCGGAAAGCTACCGAGAGTATCTCGCCCACACAGCAAAGCCTGGCAAGCTACCCTTGACGTATTCGACATGCCAAAAACAGTAATAACAGGTCTCACAATTTGTTGTAAGACATTACTGGTGCCTGCTCGAGCAAATCGATGAACAATAGGAGGACAGTGCTACCGTGCTATACTCATGATGTAAGTCAGTGTCTATATAAAGACAACAATTGTCTCTTTTTTCTTCTCCTTTTTTCTTTCCTTTTTCTTTAACTTTTTAAAACTTTTTAACTTTAAAACTTACAATACCTGCCCCTTCACCAGTGTATATTTCCTACCAACAATGTTCCCAGTTTCCCCTTCCCTGGCAGGCACTTTTCTCTGCCTCTATCTCTGTCTTCTGTCTGAATGTCTGTCTGTCTGTCTGTCTGTTTTCTTTCTCCTTTTGGATCTTACAATTAAGGCAATAATTCTCTTGAACACAAAATCCCTTAGGCCAAGAAAATCTTTAGAAATATTTACTCTAAAAAGTTTACCCGTTGGAAGCCATAATAACTATTTTATCTTAGTGCAAGGTCTGGCATGTGGCAGTAATTTAATGTGCACATGTTGAATAAATGATATTTAGTATTGCAACAAACACATTTTCCAGTGTATAACACTAAGAAATATTTGTCAATAAAAATGTGCATGACTTTTCACCCTATTTTCGAGTGTCATCAATGAAACTGATACTATTTGGAAGAAGGGGTGTATTTTTAAACATCAATTTATGATGCTCCTGCTACTTTGAAATCTCAGCAAATTTGATATTTGTCAAATGTTTGAAAGAAATAGAAAGAAAGTAATACATTCTAAAGTTTCCCTAAGAAAGCATAAATTGTTGGTTAAATACATTTTGTGAGAGAACAGGACTCAAAATTAACAATCTACAGCTACTAAGAGCACCTTTTCAAGCTATTTACCCACTATAAAATATTTGGTGGAGGAGGCTGGAGAGATAGCACAGCGGATAGGGTGTTTGCCTTGCATGTGGCCAACCCAGGTTTGAATCCCAGCATCCCATATGGTCCTCTGAGCACCGACAGGAGTAATTCCTGAGTGCAAAGCCAGGAGTAACCCCTGTGCATCACCGGGTGTGACCCAAAAAGCAAAAAAAAAATATTTGGTGGAAAGAATAACACACATAGCAATATAAAGAGAGGCAATTATACATAAATTACTCTTGTATTACTAATTTATGTAATAATGTAGCCAGAAAAAAACTGCCAATTAAAGATTATAATGGGTGGGGGTAGGTTGGCACACCAAGCTGTGCTCTTGTATTGATAATTGAGTAACCATATGCAGTACCATGGATCAACCTACATGCAAGGCTTGTGGTTGTCAATCCAGGGTACATATGATAATCAAGGACAATATGGTTCCTAGGTATTTTTGGTAATTATTGGTAATCAAAGGACTACATGCATTGCCAGGGATCTAACCCCATATTCTATCTTTCCTCTGCTAATTTCTCTGGTCCCTCAATCAAAGATTAGTAACAGAACTTGAGTAAGATTCTTATTAGGTGTAGTGGATATTGAACAGTAGATGGAGACTCACTTACTGCTTGTAAGGTTAGATTTTAGGTAAGGCAATGCATATCTAGGCAAGGCAAAGAGGGTTACTAAAAATTTATGGAAGTATACCTGAGAGATCAAATGATTGTCATAAATAATAAAAAAGTATTGGCACACACTAATTGTTCATCTATTTTAATGTCCCACATGAGATGTACTACTCGGATCAAATAGGTGATGAGATGAAAATGCAAATCACATCTTAACAGAGTTTTCAGTCCTGTACTGGGAAAAGACTATGGTCTCAAAAATTAGGAACATTTTCCCCAGATCTTTACGAAATGGTTTCTTTCATCAAGCGGAAAAGGGAATTTCTTCTTCTTTGGTAAGAGGACAGAATGTACACAATCTAAGAAAATTCGTGAGTTCTTTTGATTGGTCAAATGTATGTTACGAAAGCAATTACTCTCCCTGAAGTGTCTTTTGATGGATTTGTTCATAGATGACTACATAATTTGCAACATACATTCAATCTTTTAACAGTAGGATTTTTGGACTCCTTTATATACCCAATTCCACTAGTGTTGTGTATGTAAAAAGTATATATGTGTACAATGTACTGATCTGTGAATTTTGAGGTGAAGTAAATATTAAGAGCTTTATTGTTACTGGTTATGTACATATGTATAAGAATGACAACACTTCGTGATAGAATCATAATATAATTTTAGTACATATTTATAAAAAATATAAATACATAAAATGCATGTGTTCATAGATAGAATAAAAGATATTTTAAAAAAAATTACCAGCATAAAGAAGCTTCCGGACACAGTGGAACTGCTGTGACATACAAGCTACATAGAGAGGTGTTCCCAAGTGAGGAATGTCTTGGTCAACATCAATGCCCCAGGATATCAATATTTCTAGACATTCATGGTGACCTGCCAACACAAAGTAAATAAGAGTTCATTTTTCCTGAAAGCCTATTTCCCTCACATACACCTCACTCCATTCTTGTCATTGTCGTCATTCACTGAAATGAATGTCAATGAAATAAAATGTCAAATGAATGCCAAGAAGTTATTCATTCTTGCCATTCACTGAAATACAAGTTCAAGCACTGCATAATGTTCAGAAACCATCTCTCCCAGGTGACCTAAATCTATCACTAAATTACCTTTACTGGCAGCCTCATGAGTGGGAGAAGGAAGACAAGATTCCAACTGTGCTCTGGCACCATATTCCAAAAGTAGTTCTGTACAGCTGGTACTTCCCTGGGAGCAGGCATTGAATAAGGGGGTCACGCCATCTATTGTGATTGCATTTGCCTAAACCAAAACAAAAAAAATCCCACTGAAGAGTTAATTCGCAGAAGCATACAATATCTACTAACAGATATTTAAAATTTTATATTATAACCTAAATAACTATGAGATATAACCTTATACTTATGAGAACAGTTATTACCCAAAGACAAGAAAGGAAAATGTTGAGGAGGATCTGGAGAGAAAGTAATTCTCATACACTGTTGTTAGGAATGGAAACTACTGCAGTCATCATAGAAAGCAGAATGATGATTCCTTAAAGAATTCAAAATAGATATTCCTTGGTATCTAGTTATAACACTTTTAGGAATTAACCACCCCCCCATACAAAAACATACTAATTAAAAGTTATATATCTTCTCCTAAATTTATTGCAGCATTATTTAAAACAGCTGGAGCAATAGCACAGTGGTAGGGTGTTTGCCTTACACGCAGCCAACATGGCCGACCCGAGTTCGATTCCTCCGCCCCTCTCGGAGAGCCCGGCAAGCTACCGAAAGTATCTCGCCCACACGGCAGAGCCTGGCAAGCCACCCGTGACGTATTCAATATGCCAAACAGAGTAAAACAAAGTCTCCAATGGAGACGTTACTGGGCCCGCTCGAGCAAATCGACGAAAAACGAGAGGGTCTTTACCTTTACCTTTTTATTATTTAAAACAGTCAAGAAGTAGAAACAACCTTTGCTGTTTTAATCTGACCACTGATTGATAAATGGGGAAATATCTGTTGGTTTGATCTGTGAGTATTTATATGTAGCACTGTTGCACTGTCCTCCTGTTGTTCATCAATTTGCTCGAGTGGACACCAGTAACGTCTCTATTGTGGGACTTGTTACTGTCTTTGTCATACTGAATATGCCACGGGGAGCTTGCCAGGCTCTGCCTTGTGGGTGGGATACTCTTGGTAGCTTGCTGGGCTCTCCAAGAGGGACGGAGGAATCGAACCCGGTCAGTCACGTGCAAGGCAAACACCCTATCCACTGTGCTATTGCTCCAGCCCAATATCACTTTGTGTATAGTAGGGAAAGCAAGAAATTCTACTGTAATTTCTCAGGGGTAAACAATACCTGTTGGTACTTATGGTGGCTTCAGAAACTCCAGGGCAGGAGTGAAGGTCCCCCAGGCCCTGTCAGGAGTAAGCCCTGCATACTCCTGGGTGTGGAGCAAAAAGCAAACCAACCAAAGCTATACATATATATATATATGTATATATGTGTGTGTGTATGTGTTTATGCATAAATACATATATAAGCACAATGGCATGGTTATCAGAAAGGCAAAAAAAGATAATATCTTTCCATTTGTAATAACATGGACCTAGAGGCAAATATTAAACATACAAGTGAGTATCAAACAAGCAGATAAAGGAAAGCAAACAGTATGACTTAAGTCATGTGACATACAGAAAAAAATGAACAGATGACAAACAAAGCAAAACAAATTTTTGGCCTATAAGATCACTTGGTGTTATAGCCGAAATCGGGAAACAACCCAAGTGCCAGAGAACAGATGACTGGTTAAAGAAACTTTGGTACATCTACACTATGGAATACTATGCAGCTGTTAGGAGAGATGAAGTTATGAAATTTGCTTATAAATAGACAGACATGGAGAGTATCACGCTAAGTGAAATAAGTCAGAAAGAGAGGAATAGGCATAGAAGAACTGCACTCATTTGTGGAGTGGCTGACACCTAAGGATAGTAGATACATGGGACAGGAAGATTGCTCCATAGCTGGAAGTCTGCCTCATGAGCAAAGGGGAGAAGGAAGCTAAAATAGAGAAGGGATCAATAAGAAAATGATGGCTGGAGGAACTGGTCTAGATGGGAGATGGGTGCTAAAGGTAGATAATGGACCAAACATGATAACCTCTCGTATCTGCATTGCAAACCATAATGCCCAAAAGTAGAGAGAGAGTATGGGGAATATTGTCTGCCACAGATGCAGGAGGAGGGTGGGAAAGGGGGGTATACTGGGGATATTGGTGGTGGGGAATGTGCACTGGTGGAGGGATGGGTGTTTGATCATTGTGTGATTGTAACCCAAACATGAAAGCTTGTAACTATCTCATGGTGATTCAATAAAACATTTTAAAAAATCACTTAGTGTTACCAGAAGAATATGTAAACTGGGGCATAGGGCCAAATATAGGGTAAAACATGGAGTCTGACTTGCAGTTTTGAATTTAATGTAGTATATAGACATGCTGACTAGCAATAACATACTTTCAATGTATGTTATGCTGTTCAATGTTATTGAAATGAAAAAATATTAAAGATTAAAATTGTCTATTTGGTTGCAGAATCAAACTGAAATGTAGCTTGAAGATCAACTTTATCTATCTCCTGATTGATACAAATCATCATAGCCAAATAAATGTACAGAGAAATGAATTAATCTTTGTAACTAAAAATAAGTGCTGCTCATGTTGTGATCTTTTTATTTTTTATCAGCCATATTTGATTTGGAAGGAAGAAACTATCTCCCTGAATTACTGTCAGTGCTAAAAATGTTATAGGTCTGATAGCAGAAATAATTGGGGAAATGTGTGAAGTAAAAATGACAGAGTCTATTTGCCAATACACATCAGTAAGAAAAGCTTTAAAACTTCAGCAAATAGTGATATGATGTGGGATATAATTCACAGCACTGGGTATACAACTGGTACAAATCATGACAAAACACAAAAATTAGGTTAAAAACTAAAAAAAATAATGTGCAGGCAGTTTTAAATTAGATAAAACTAGTGAAGAAAAATTACAAAGGTGATGGACATTGTGATGGAGGCACTGTGTCAGAAGCAAATTCAACTGGTAAAACCAGAAATTCTATTTCTGGGAACTTTTCTCAGGAAAGTCATCTGAAATGTGGGAAATGCTATTAGACATAATGCTAGACATCTATTGCTATTTAGAGTCATCAAGAAGGAAAGAATATCAAGAACACTCTGCGTTAGTATGCAGCATACCATCCATTTTTGTAATGATAGGAAAATTCTACAAAGTGCAAAGAGTAGGCTTAAGCAATTTGAGAACTTCATTGGAAAATAAAACAGCAAAATGAGAACGTAGGCAATTTCAGCACGTGTGCAACTGCTAGTGGTGCAAGAGGTACTTACATTAGCACCAGCTTCTAGGAGAGTTCTGGCACATGCCACGTGATCTCCAAGGCAGGCTTCATGCAATGGTGTGACATGGTCTATGGTTACTGCATTTACATTATAACCCTAAAAAGACATCATTTATAAAGGTGAGCAACAAATTTCATACAATCATCTCTATAAATATTATTACAGGTGACAGGAATAGAAGAAATCAGAGTTTCTCAAACACATCAGAAGTTCAAGTGCACTTTCATTGAATTGTCAAAATTCATAGCCCATTAACATAATAACAGTAAGTCAAAACCTGATAATGCCTTAGGTTATTTTTGTTCAATATATATTTTGGAATTCTTTCTTTAATTTTGCTTTCTTAGATTTTCTTTTCAGAGATTGGATGGATAGTACAATGGGTAGGATGTTTGCCTTGATGTAGCCCACCTGGCTCGCTGCTCAGGTATGTCCACAGTTATGCCAGGAGTAATCCCTGGGTGCAGAGCCAGGAGGTAGCCCTGAGCATCACCGAGAGTGGCCCCCAAACCAAAACTAACAATTATTTTTAGTCTTTAATAATTATCTTGATTGTTTTTATCTTCTCTTTTTTCTTTTTTGTAGAACTAAATACAGTTTATCGGTTTCACTTGTAGGTCAGCCCAACTAGGGGGTAAACACCCTAAATTGTAGTGAGATGCTTTTTGAACTTATGTGTCTAAGCAGATAAAACTGTATTAAATGAAAATAGTTACAGGCTCTGACTATGGGGCCAGTTATATTTGGCTTTCAAGTAGCCTAGTAAAACTATTTTAATCTGAAGAAATACCTTAACAACCAAGTGTCAGGATTAATGTGAGGATTGAGGTTATATACGTAAAGCAATTACAACGTTCAGCAGAAACTGTCTTTTAGATAATGTTTTAGATAATGTATTCTTCCTTCTTGAGTTTTATTATTCAACTGTAAAACTAGGGAAACATTTCTAAAGTTTTGATTCCAATCTAACTAATCATATCAGACTAAAACTCTGATTAAATATTACTAGGGTGTGAGATTGCTTTTGCTATTTCAAGGAACTCAATGCTTATATTGAATATCAATGACAAGTATACTAAGTGCCAGAACTGGAGGAAGGCTTCCAAGACTGAATACATACTGGCATATAATAGATTGTCACAATCTGTAATATCAGCATAGACATGAGGAATCTTAAAATGGAAACAACAACAACAAAAAATTAAGCACCATAAATCTCTGTTGCTAGTAAGTGACTTTTTTAAAAATCTATCAAATTATCCCTGCAATAATTTCAAATTGATCAGCCAGCAATCAGGTGAGAGCCAGTCCTTAACTGCCACTCACCAGACTGACAGAGGAGAGGAACTGCAACGATTCCCTTTCACACGAGGCCATGGAGGCAACTCCAACATTTGTTGGCGAGCTTGCCAGTCGATACAAGATACATGTTGGGAAATAACCCCTTAGCTAGCTCTTCTAAGGGAACTTCATGGTACTTTCAGGGGGGTTACCCTTTAGAAATTACTGACCTTTCTACAGGCTTTTATGCTGAGCAAACAAAATAGTCACATGGTTAAAGTGGAACTGGAAGGCCCTAAGGTAGCATCTTGTCCTACATCTTTATTTTACAGATGAGGGAATGGAGACTTAGCTAGAATATGATTCAAATGTCAGCTTGGAACACAGGGGCCTGAATCCCAGTGCACTTCAAACTGGGCAACACCAGCCTTCGTTGCCATATGATGAAATTCCATCCCCCGATATCCTGCAAAGTATCAGAATAATGACTCCTAGATCTGGTTGTTCTTTTGAATCACTGTAAATTTTTTTTTTAAATGCACAGTCCAAACCAGGATTCTTTCTACTTAAATAAGGAATCTGAGGTTTCCTTTATCCCCTCCCCCCACTGCTGAATATGAGTTAAAAAAAAAGGAGGCACAGAAATAACTGTTCTCTAGTTTTCAGGAACAATAATCATTTAATATAATACTTTACCATAATGTAAATAGGCAGCTGGCCTGATTAACTCCTTTGGTAAATTTTTTAACTAAACTGCTTATAGAAATCTGCTATTAATTGTGTACTTTCCATAGAATTAAGATTATTAGTGTGTCTAACAGACAATAATACATAAGTTAAATTACTTTTTGCTGAAGTGTCTTTCAGTAAGAAGATATACTGTTTGAGAAATATGAAATGCTAAGACATGAGCTTATGCCAGAATATTTATAGAGATTTTAAAGGTAAATGAAAGACTCCTGACTAAACTGATCTATGAGTCAAAATGAGACCAGTGAAATCTGCTCAGTAGTTTTAGTAATTCTGAGCCAACTCTTTATGACAACTAAGAATCTGTGTTCACAGGACAAGGTCATGTCTTAAACTGTGTTGTTTTATCACCTGTGATAACAATGTCCTCAGAGCAAGCAGACGACCTTGGCTAGCTGCTTCATGGAGAGGTGACCTGTCTGCCCAGGAACCTGTCAGAAATAAACGGAAACAGAAATCTGTGAGTCAAAGTAAATCCTGATGAACATAACTAATTCCTGCCTGACTTTCAAATTCAGTGTGAAACTCTTTAGATTCAGTCTTAAACAAGTGAAACTACAAAGATGGTCTGCAGGTTGGGAAGACGTGAAGAAGGTGGCAAGAACTACCTAAAGGAAGAGGGAAAATGGGGGCAGAGTGATAGTATTGTAGGTAAGGCACTTGCCTCACATGTGGCTGACATGGATTCAATTCATGTCATCCTATATGGTCCCCAAGCACTGCCAGGAGTAATTTATGAATGTAGAGCCAGGAGTGACCTGAGCGTTTCTGGGTATAACCCCCTCCAAAAAAGAAAAGAATGAGCAAAAAAAGTAACCACCCCAGAAATACCACAATGGAGAAGTGCTACCCTTTCATTGTTTTAAATAGTGCAAACAAAAATTAAAACTATGAACACTGTAAATCCCAACGAAAGATTAAACTGCATCTTCAGCACCCTCTCAAATTTCTATTTCTGTGAATCTCTATAAATATATTCAATCTTTTTACCCATAATATAGTTCACAAATACGTAAATTTCTATAATATACATATTAAAATTTCCATCTAGCATTATTTTGTTCGTATTAAAGACAATAAACTTGGCATCTAATTCTTTTATGTTATTTTATAATTATTTTATGTTATTTTAAAATTTTATGTTTGCAGCTGTACCCAGAAATGCTCGGGGTTACTCTTAGTTTTGTGTGCAGGGATCATTCCTGGCAGCACTCAGAGGATCCCATGGGATGTTAGGGTTTGAACCTGGGTTGGCCACATGCAAGGCAAGCACCCTACATACTGTACTATCTCTCAAGCCTCCTCCTACTATTATTATTTAATCGAGGTCTCATAGTTTACACTAATATTGAAGTCATAGTTTCATAATTGCAAAGTACTACACTGATCCCTCCACAAGTTTCATTATGCCTCAAAAGTGTTCCCTTGGCCCCTTGCTCCAACCTCCTTATTCCTAGTTCTACTGATCAGGTCCAGCTTTGTATTCTACTGAGGATTGTCTAGATGATGCCCATTTATTATCACTCTTTCCATTGTCACTACCTAACACAGTCAACAGAAAGATGTTGATTTTATGAAAAAGGCTATGTAAGTGGCCTTTTGGATTCATATTGGACTCATATTCAATGCTAGCAGTATTTGTAGCTCAGAGCACTAGATGATCCTCTTTTGCATATTAATATACTTATCCATCCGGAATTCCTGTATTAGTCTTTGGAACAATTTCAGCATTGCTTGCTGGCATTTACAAAACATGTCACAGAAGGACCATAACTTGAATCCCCTGGTTTTCTCCCCATAGCTTTCTGTCCCAGCTGATATTTTCGTTATCACTAAGACTTCTGTCTCTGTCAGAGGAGGAAAAAAAAATAGCTGGAGATAGAGTTTATGTATGTGAGCTTGCTGTCATTGTTCGGAACATCATCTCCATTGGCATGAGAAAAGAATCGAATTTCTTAGTGTGCAGGGAAAGTGTGGGTGTGCAGCCCAGGAAATAAGCAATGCTGGAAGTGGGACTCTGGTCTGGAGTGTGCTCATCTGATCCCCCTCCTCAGAATCTCATCCTTCTCAGCCCTCACAAAACAAGACCCCAGCTATCTGTCGTTCTTAAAAGAGAGAGCGAGAGGCAGAAGGTGGAGAAGGAGAGTGCAGCGACCAGAAATGAAACGCTTCACAGAGCTCAGAAATTTACAAAGTGAAAAGTTTTGCATGTCAATTTCCTAAAGTCATATAATCTCCTGAGAACTCAGTTTCTTCATGAATGGGAAAAACACTTCCTTAAAGATGAGATTGAAGGAAGATTAGAAATGATCATGCTAAGTACCTGCCATATACACAAAAAACAGCACCCAGATTCCTTTGTAAAACAGGAAGATTTTCATATATATTTTACAAAATAGATCTCTTTTTGCCTTACAAAATTCTAGTCATAAATAACAAGTGATTTAAAAATGAATTTTTAAATTTTTAAAAATGATTTAAAAATAGTTTGGCCAATAAGAAAAAAGGAAACTCAATTTTCATGACATAAAAAATAAAGATATATTAGTAGTGTTTTAAAGAACTAATTTATAGTGTATGCTCTTTGATGAAAACATTTCTGTTTGTTTTGAATTCTTCTTAAATAACACCCAAGTAACCCCATCTCAATCACTTCTTTATAGTTTCTTAGAATAATTTCTATAATTAATCTGGTAACACGTGAGAATCAAAAGATACTATATCATGTTTGGGTTTCTGTTTTCAAGTCTTCTCCCCTCCCTGAAAATTTTTATTCAAATGTGCTCAAAAGGAAATAACTTAACTTTTGACAAATCGATATTGTTTTGACTAAAAATATTTATAGAGCTTTCCAAGACTAAGCAAAACATAAACATCTGCATATTCAACTTAGTAGCTTGAGAATCTTGTTAGATTTTAAATAAATATCTAAGATTTTAAAAAAAAATCAGTATGACCCTTCAGAATAAACTATTCATCATGAAAACTGCGTTCTAAAATATCTGAAATTCAACAGTGTAATCAAATGTCTACTGCTTGAATTCTCCGTAGCTGCAAAGGAGATGAGTGACTATATTTAGAAAGCACACCAGTTACCAGACAGCTGGTATATAATTTCCAGAGAGAGTCTGCCCCACTCGGTAAACATCACATTGCTAGAGCAAAAACATTCATGGTCCTAGAGATCTACTGTTTTATAAGGTTCTGTACCATACCTAAATCACCATCTCCCCATGGCACTTCAAGCCAGCCACTGCTGAGATAAATCCGGCTCATATCCTTTTTTTTTAAAATCAGCACTGAAAAATAAGTCACTTGTCATTCGCTAGTTCTATTCAGCCATTTTAAGGAGCCCTAAGCTTCTTGTAATATGATCTTTCACCTCTAAAAAGAAAAACAACTTTTTTAAGTCGGAGCTATTTCCAAGCTTGTTTTTCCTTGCTGTTCATTGCTCTTTATTTGAAAAAAAATTGCTTACTCTAGGTTTCACCCCACCTTATAGTGTGTTTCCTGAAACAAAATAGAAAGTATTATAATTTCATCCATTACCTTTGACTCTGATGAAACCACTAAACTTTTTAGAAATGATTTGCCTTCCCTTGTGTAGTCCATCAATAGAAGGGAAATATACTATCATTCGCAGTGTGGACAGCTCTCTGACTTTTGGGTCATACCTACTTTTCACCTAAATGCCCTCAAATGTATCTCAAAGGACAAATGAGAAATGATGACATCTTCATGTATGAATGAATGCAAAATGTTGACTATTACAGTTCTTTTTCATATAAAAGATGAGACTCATAGTCTCCTTTACAAAGAAGGCGATCTTACCATGAAGCCAGTGAAACAAGACAGCTGATTTGCACATATGTTCATGAAACCTTTGCTTAGACATGAAATATGATTGCATGTTTGCTTTTCTTACAGAAAATTTTGGAATGTATATAAACTTAGGGTGAACAGTACCAACACCAACACAATCACATGTTTACAAAATAAACACATATTACTGGGCTTATTTTTTTACATTTCTGCTTATAGTAGGCTTTTCTAGTTATATATCATATGATATATGACATATGTCCAGAACGACATATGTCCTTGAGGACACAGTTGATGAGGCCAGTAATGTGCTACCAAAACCATTCTCTTCAAAAATGAAGACATCCTTGTCTCTCCATTCATCACTGCTCTAACAATAGTCTCTGAGCAATATCAAGTTCAGCTCTGAAACCAACAAATATATAGATATACTTTGGGAAATTCTGGTACATATACTGAA